CGCCATTGCACTCCAGCCTGGGTAACAAGAGCAAAACTCCGTCTCAAAAAAAAAAAAGAGGAGAAAGTGTATTCATTAGAATGCAGTTAAAGCTGTGCTGGTCTGATATGAAGGAAATATTCAAGAAGAAATAGTCTGGCTATTTGTGGGAGATGGGATTAACCACCCACAATACCACATACCTACCACATGAAGCCCAGGCTTTCTGAGCCACATATGTCTACACTCATTCTTGCTCAGTTACATATTTCTGTGAACCCTCAGAGTTCCAAAGCCAACTTTCACACACTGCACACAGGTTTGAGTGTGATCAGAATTTTTCACTAGGGCCCTGGTGTTTTATTAAGCAGCTAGGCCTCCCTGCAGGGCATCATGTGTTGGAAAAGACTGAATGATACTTGAAAACCGCCTAAGTTGGACAATAATTAGAACACCCCAGATTTGTGGGATGGCTGAACATCTGAACTAGCACAGCCTAAATTATCTACTGGGGGGTTGTCTGCTTTAGAAGGGGATAGTTTATAGTTTGCTTGGCAGAAAGGTCATGGGGCATTAATTTGGATCTAAAAAAGGGAGGAATCTATATGTATCCACAAAGATACATGGAAAGCATCACTTTTTTTCCTGAAATATATTGAAATATAATTTTTATTTCCCCTCACTAGTGTATAATACTATAGAATCTTCAGGTTATAAAACTCAAAGTAAAAGCAATATGCATCTTCACATAGTATATACTAGTATATAATACTAGTGTATAATATTACACAATCTTCAGATTAGAAAACTCAAAGTAAAAGCAATATGCATCTTCACTCCAGCCCTCTTACCATGATGTTTGCATTGAAGGGTTTGTGGTTGTGGATTGCTTTGGACATCCAACTACCTTCTTTTTTGTCATTTTTTTCTTTTGGAATTTGGGTCCCAGTCCAAACACATTGCATCAGGCATGGTTTGCTGGATGAGGAGGAAAGCAGGACTATACCTCCCTTTTTCCACATACTGTATCTCCATTGATATAACCTGAGAACATGCTAGATTCTTGAGAATTACATCTCACAGCTGACTAATATTGAACTATAGTTAACCAACACTCCATTTTCTGAATACTAAATCTTATTTCTCCTGTTCCATAATGAATCATTGGTGCTCTGTTCTCAAGGACAAGGCCTTTCATTTTTTTAAATAAAATTGCATCCCAAACAATGAGTAGGGTTTGTTCCAGCATTCCAACCAAATTGAGATTTGTTTTGATATCATGATTATCTAATCTAATATATGACCTCTTTCTCTAAACTCCTTGTCTTTTGTTACCTTCCTATCAACTCAGCATTTCATCAGTAGATTTAGTTACATGATTCACAAGTCCAAATGTCACCTTTTCAGTGAGATCTCATGATTCTCTATTCAAAATTGACACCCCACCTTCAATCCAATACACTTCCTATATTCTTTATCTTCTCATCCATCGAACGTAATATAATTGTATTTATTTTATACTTCTTATTTTTCTTTAGAATATAAGCTCTATTAGAGCAGCAGTTTTTGTCAGTTCCATTTCCTGCTGGATTTCATAATTGTTGTGTGGATGTATTTGAATGCATCAGCAATCTTATTCAAGTCAGCAATCTTATTCAAGTCTTACTGACTTGAAGGCTAGAATTCAGTACATTCTCCTAGAGATTGCTGTCCCTCACCAGGTCACTACTGACCTTTTGGTCACTCACAAGTCCACTTAGTGGTATTAGTATCCAATTCAACTTATCTTCACTTTATCCAGAAGACTATCAAGAGAGTTTGTCACATTTTTTGCTGAAATCAGATATTTTGTGTTGGTGATAGCCCTCCGATCTATCAGTCTGGAAGTTCTTTTCCAAAGAAAGGAAATGGAATTCATCTGACATAACTTATCACTTCCTTTTTCTAACTGCACACGGATCATCCTTTTGATGACTCATTTTAAACCCTGCTCCAGAAGGACAGTGCATTAATAAGTGACCTGTCCAAACTCTCTGATTTCCTGTAGGGAGGCCCCTCCCGGTGTGAGATCCTCTTGGCTGGGGTTCACAGAGTGGCTATTAGAAGGTGGAGTTAGCACCACAGAGTCAGAAGGCTTCGGCTCAGATGGCATTCTTTCTTTCTGGGTCTCAGCTTCTGCAGTCTATAAAATAAAAATGGTAATATTTTTAAAAATATGGCACGATATTTATTACTAGTTATTTATGCCCTTTTGGTTTCATGTCCAGTTGCTACATACAGACAACAAAGACCTGAGATTTTGGATATGTTTAGTTTATTTTTACTGCTATTTGATCTAAAGGATTTACATTTCTCTTATCTATTTCCTGTTTCCCCCTTCTTTCTGACACAGCTATAGGTTATGCCCTTATCATCTCTTCACTGATTTATTGGAGTCACCCCCTAACTGGCCCCACAGCTCCCATCTCTTGCCTCTCCATCTTATACTCTTAAATCAGGCTAATTGCCTAGAATCTGGCTACTCAAAATGTGGTCTGCGAACCACAGCATCAGTGTCTCTTGGGAGCCTGTTAGAAATGCAGACTCTCCCAGGCTCCACCCAAAACCTAAGAATCAGAATGTGTAGGTCAGCAGACCCACCAGTGATGCAAACTCACATTAAAACCAAGAACCACTGTCTTGTCTTCTACCATGCCATTCTCCTTCTAACAGATATTCTTAAAATTCACATTGAACTGTCTCCAAACTGTCTCAGGCAGAAAGGGATCCAGGATCCACATTAATTTTCAAATGAGATATTTTTGACATGAAAGTGTAAGTGCCCACCTATACTTCCTTCTCATTGGTTCTGAGAATGATGAACTAGTTTTTCTAGATAACTTTAGAACACTTGTAAAAATTACTGAAATTCAACTGGAGACTTCCTTCTGTTAGAGGCCAAGCATATTGTTGTTTGGTGAGTGAGGGTGAAGGCGTACTTGGGAAGCATATGTGATGGGTTAGTTGAAAATGTTCCTGTTATTTATTATGAACTTATTTTGTGTTTGATACAGTGACAGGCATTTTGTATACTTAATTTAATAATAATAATCCCACTTAGGAAGGTATTTTTATTACCATTTTACATGTGGAGAAACTGAGACTTAAAAAGTTTAGGTTGTTCAGGGTCACAGTTTTGGTTAGAGTTCAGGCTGCACTGTAGTAACAAAGTTATCAAAATACTGTGGTCGAGACAAGTGGCTCTGTCCTGAGAGGACTGTGACCCTGGGTAGGAGACACTAATGTTCTCTGAAGACACCCAGCTTCCCTCTCCCATGCTGCTTTGTCATCCCCAGGGTGTTGTCCACACCCCTGTGCTTGGAGCTGGTTCCTGTCTTGGGAAGGGTGAAAGGGAAAGTGAAGGGCACTCCACCTTAAGTAAATGCTCTCCACCTTCAGTAAGAGAAAATGTAGTCACATAGTAAAGGATTTGGTGAAGGACCAGGGCCAACAAAGAAACCTTCGATTGCTTTGCCTTTAACAAGTTATTTATTTAGCAGTTTTCTCATGAAAACATAATCCAGAAGTCCTACCTGTGATTTGTACTCACATTCTGCTAGTCAAAGCTTGGTCACATAGCCACACCTAGTTGCAAAAGAAGCAGAGAAATGTGGAAACTTGGGGAGCTCTTTACTAAAGGGAAGAAGGGGAATGGCTACTGGAGGAAAATTGTGGGCTCTGCCGTAGGCTCCTAGCTGATGAGCGGAAGAGCTGGATGCCAAGCCTTTCACTAAAACCTGAGATCTTTTCATCGCATTTCCCCACCACTTCTCATAGTTGACAGTACATATCTGTTGAATTGAGACAGTCAAGATATTATATGTAAGCCCTTTGATTATTTGAAATTGTTTCTTCCTTCTCTCTTGCCTCCCTGATTACCTACATGGTTCAGAGTTCAAACTGTCCCTGTTTCTGATAATGTTTTAATATGTAAAACAGGAAACTGATACTAATCTTCCTTCAGTAGAAATACTATAATAAAGCAATCCACCAATTATTAGAGGTTCTGTAGAGCCATATGAGATATGATAATGGCCTAATTATACTGATTTTTTAAATGACCAAATAACCATCTCCTTTAAAATAGGTGTCCTCTTAGGAGAATGCCATTGCTGAAAACATTTTTGAAATTTTGGCTGGTATATCAGTTAACTCTTGCTGCAATAATGCTTCATGACACCACTACCAAAATCTCAGAGGCATACAGCAATATTTAACTTGCGTAAATGTGGGTCTCCGGGGGTCGACTCCTTAGCCTGAGCCTTCCTGGTCAGCTCTGTTTCAGGTATCTATTGCCCTCCTTCTGAGATAGCAGACTAGCATGGACATATTTTTCTCTGACGATGGCACAAACATTACGAGAACAACTAGAAATACTTGAGGCTTTTTGAGGCCTTGGCTGGGAACTGGCACAACCTGTGTCATGCCACCTGGCAAGTCACGTGCCCAAATCCACAGTCAAGGGCTGTGGAAAATGATCTACATCTTAAGTAAGAGAAAATGTAGTCACATAGCAAAGGATTTGGTGAAGGACCAGGGCCAAAAAAGAAACCTTTTATTGCTTTGTCTTTAGCAAGTTATTTTGAATATTTGTAGTGATAGTAAATCTTTTAAAGGTAGCTTTGAATTTTTTTAGTAAAACAGCTAAATTTATAAATAAAATTAGAGAATCAAGTTAGATTTATTTTGGGGCAGAAAGGTAGCAATTTCAGCATGTGTTATAAAATAATGAGACTTATTTCTAAAAGAATTGATTCAAGAATATGGTATTTGATGGCAGAGAAGTTGGAATAAATGTATAGCCTTTTAAGATGACCTCTTTGAAAGGATAACACTCATTTAAACATTGGGTTATACATTTTTTAAAAATAAGCCTTGTGACTTACAGTCATATGTTACCACTTTGAAAGTGGGACGGGGAGTGAATAGAGGCCCATCCCTGATCCTTTGACTAACCCTAGAAAAATGTGCTTTATGTGCAGATTCTCATTGCCAAGTCCCCACTGGCTCCTTTCACCTCATTTGTCTACACCATCAAGGAGGAAGGCCTGGTTCTTCAAGGTAAGATCCTTGGATTAAGCTATTTCTTTAAGCTGATTATGCACAGTGCCACCCATTGCTAGTGGTAATTACTACCATGGCTCTGATAGCAGCTAGCTTTGGACGGAATAAAAAGCCAACATGCATTGGCCAGTGATATTTACCCTAAAGAGAGCAAGAGATCAGCAGTTGTGGCAAGAATTTAACAGAGAAGATTGAGGTAGGGCTGAGGGAGACTTACAGAATTTCATAACAGAATGAGATGATCAAAACATGAGGATCAAACCGAGAAGGCTTGGAATTGCTACCACCCCATTCCTCTTTGCAGATCCTGCGGCGTGGTAGGCAATGAATATGACACCAGTGTGGAGGTGAGGAGCCAGTGCTACCCCAGAGTCCTCTTGCTTAACAAGCTGAAGGGCCACCTGGGCTGGCAGCCTCTGGGGTGCAGTGTCATGGCTCTTTGAGCCCTGCCTCCCTCACTCCTTCTGGTTGTCTTGTTTCCTTTTCTTGTGCCTAAGTCCTGACATGGTCTTCCTGCGGAGGACCTGACCTTTAGAACCTGCACATTGTGACCTGAACCCAGGACTTAGAGCTGAGTTATTGCTTAGGGTCGAGCACCCTGAGGCTAGAACTCACTGATCTACAATGGTAGTTGATTCCCAGATGCCAGATGCCAGATACACTGTTGGTTAGGAAAGGCACCCAATTACAGGTCTTTCCAGAAAACAGTTCACATGAAGGGGTAAATTCAAGTGCTGTTAGAAGAGTCAGCCCACAAGATCAGATGTCCAAAACTGCTTTGTGGATGAGGAAGGATCCCCACAGAAGTGCTTGGAATACATATCTGTCCCCTACTGTCAGACAGGAGACCCCACCCACAGAGATGCTTAGGTGAACATCTGGCCTGAGCCCTAGAGGAGCATATTGTCACTGCTGTCCATGGGAGAAGTCCTACCCTGAAGGATTTTATAAGTTAAGCATTTTTCCCAGGTTTGTGAAACAGGGCAGTCCCTGTGATTTCCCCGTAGAGACACATTGCATTGCAAAGATCTAGCAGGGATTATGTGGGGCAGGCTGGGGAGCCCATTCTTCTAACTGAGGAACAGGCTGCAGCCTTCCCTTTCCTTCCCCTTCTAAAATGTCAGCTTCTTAATGGACTCACAAAGCTGCATGTTTGTTTGGTGTAGCTGAGCTCCACAGCAGGAACTCTCAGGTCCACGAAATTTGGGGTGAGAACTACTGACCTTTGGCTCTTAGCCTTCGACTTATGCTATCCAAGTTCCTTGGTAAATATTTTTTTTTTACAATTGCAAATAGTGTTTTCTGACAAAGGAACAGAGATTTTAAGACCAGATTAAGCAAAGCAAACAGCAGGCCTCTTTGTTATATACTCTCTAAGGGTGTATAGCTAATAAGCAATCAGAAAGCTGGACTTTTATTTACCCAGTGCACAGTGTGGCATTCAGCTCTTCATTTTTGGAGGCTTTCCTAAAAGATTAGAATATAGTAAGTAGCAAATTTAGATGAAGGTTTCAAGAAATTCTATGGAAGATTACAAGATAATTTCAGGAGGAAAAGAGCTTGTTTTGCTCAGATGACCTGTATCAAGAGTCTTGATGTGATACACATACCCTGATCACTGGGCATTTTGTTAAATAGCATTTGTAACCGTGGTCAAATTTGGATAACTTTTGGGATAACATCTGTGGGAACAAGATTCACTGAGTTGTCTCTCTGATGCTCATTGCTAGGATCATGATTTTAACAGGGAAGAGACAGTTATTTAGAGAAAGTAGAGACTGAAAATACAATGAATTGGTAGAGGTTAAAAAACTGCAAGGAATGACTTTTCAAAAAAGTTGGATAACGGGGGAGAAAGTGGATCACTAAAGGAGGCTGACCTGGAGCTGTGTCTAGGAAAGACAGAAATTCAGGAAAATGTCTTATGCTTCAAAAACAACAACCAGTAAGTAAAATGCTTGGTTGAGAGACCTCAGAACCTCACCTGGTTGCTTTCTAAGTTGTTTTCTCTATTCCACTCCCCAAGCTACACAGCCCCCTCAGAGGTTTCCCAGAAGCAGTGGAACACCTCTGTCTGCTTTTACCAGCAATGCCCCTGAAAACAAATCACTTGGTATGCCCTGCTTTCTTGTTGTGTGCTCCCAAAGACTTTGGGAAAACAAAAAATGCAGGTCCCCAGAAAACGCAGGTCCCTCCTTTATTAGAAAGAACCTTTGGATTTTACTTCCAGCTTTGGTATCATCTTGAGAAAATCTCTGGGCCTTGATTTTGTCAGCTGGAAAATGAAAATACTAACCTTGATACAAGGCTTTGAATACTGTCACAACCCATTGGTGGGTCATGAAGTGAAATTGATGAGTCACAACCAGCATTTGAAGACAGAGAGAGAGAGAGAGAGAGAGAAGACAGAAGAAATAGAGAATAAAAAATATCAGGTTGTATCACACATACTGTTATCATTTCATAAAATATTTGTTGTGTGAATGTGCGCGCACATTATGAGTTTGTGTGGGGGCAGCAGTGTAAACCGTTTTTCTGACGTGGATCGTTGTAACCAGCATGCAGGATCTATAACAGCCTTGTCACGTCACTTTGTCCGATCCTCCTAGGAGAGGATGTACTCATCATTTCCTTAGCTCAGTCCAGTTGTACCCTTGAGATCTCCACATACTGCAACATCAAAGCTAATCCCCCCGCCCCCATTCTTGCCAGATGACTGAGCTAAAAGACACCTGCACAATTCCCCAGGTTTAAAGCAAAGAAACCCTTGGTCCCTGAGTGGAAAACTTGGAAAGGTACCACCAGTCAAGGCCAAGTAGCTTTCCTTAAGTGAGGAGTTGCACTGGTAGGTTAGTCCCAAGTTGGTGTGGAAGTTGGAGCTCTGGGTGGGATGTACAGCCCATGTCCAGGGACTTGGAACAGACAGGGCAGCTCCTGTGCTGCCAACTAGAAGGAGGCCGCCAGCCACTGTGGCTGACATTCGGTCTTCAATAGAGCCGCCTGGATGGTGGGAACAAGCCAACCATACAGGCTACCCATGGGGGTAGGGAATGATCCATCAAGGCATTTTATCCCTTAGCGAGCCCCCAGATGCCTGCTGGCCTGCTAGCCAGGAGACTTTATAATACCTGAAGAACTCCGGAGTGCACAGGCAGAGGGAGGGAATAAAAGGTGAGGGCAGAATTCGATTTACCAGCTCCACAGGCCATTTCCCTCACCGGTTCTCAAGGATTAGGACGCTGAGAACAGTCAACAACTGGGGGCCCTCTACCCTTCCCTCCCCTTTGTTCACTGGGATGGGAAGGACAATAAAGCGGCAGGCTGGAGAGACCGAGGGGCTGGTTAGAGATTTCTCAGGCTGCTTTTTAAACACTTGAAGGAGCCAGTCCGTGCTATTGTTGTAGTAAAATAGAAAGCAGAACTATTCTCCTTTTTCAAAAAAAAGAAGAAAAAGAAAGAAGAAAGGAAAAGAAAGAAAGAAAGAAAAGAAGGAAAGAAAAAGTAAATGAAAGAACCCCCCCTCCTCCCAGCATCTTCAGGAGGCTGCAACTTGGGCCATTAACGTGGTAATTTTGCATCTTTGTCTGTCCAGCATTTGTCTGGGATCCTGGCCTCTGGATGCTGGAAATACTTAGGCCTCAAAGGAGAGGGAGCTCACAGCCACCAGTTTCCTGAGGGTTTGGACTCTGAGAGGGGGCTAGATCCCAGGCAGTGAGAGAGTTGAGCCTCTTTGTGCAATGAAGTGGGAAAGGTGGGGGTGGAAGGGGATCTCATGAATCTATTTTTTCTTTGGTCCCCAGAGTTCACCATGCAAGTCTCAGTGCCTGCCAAGTGAAAAAGCTCAGAGGATTAGCTAGCCTCTTAGAGTGATGCTCAGGTGCACTGGGGCCCAGTGGAGAGGGAAAAGTCGAGTTGATTCTGGGAATCAGCTTTAATGGGGTATGCCCATAGAAGCAGCCGGCAGCAGAAAGGAAAAGGAGAGTTTACAGTGAACTCCAGCTTGACCCACGGCTTTTCTGGTCCTGTCCTTTGTTCCCTTAGCAACCTGCAAATGTGTCACCCAGAACACAGCTGGGACTGAAGGCCAGGAATAAAAATTCTGTCAATGAAAGCAGCTGGGCTGTATTGCTGGTGCTGCAGGAGGCCTAAAGGAAAACCCAGGTCCCGGTCTGGGAGCCCTCCTAGTTTTCAGGGGCTCATAGGCACAAACACCTGAGGACTTGATGAAGTAGAACCTAAGCAAGGGGAGGTCAGGGGGATGAAGGGTTGATCCAGCACAGCCTCCCCTTTACTCCCTTCCTCAGGAATCTGGGGAGGATTTGAAAAAGAAAAGCCAGGTTGTTTTGAAGAGGACAGGAGATAGTGTCTTAGTTCCTCAGGAAGACCGAAGTGTGTCTTTTATATCATATTTGCAAAATCGAGGTCAGGTATGACAGGTTGAATTTGGATCCTGGTGCTGTCATCTATTAGTGTAGGTTTCAGTGAGCAGCATAAAACGTGGAGCGGGAGCCGGGGGGTCCAGGGCACCCTGAGACAGGTCCAGAGAAGGTGCTGGAGGTGAAACTAGTTTCCCATATCTCCAACCACTTGGTATAGGGCGGCACAAGAAAACAGAAAAAGCAACGGCGATCTTTTTTGGAGCTGGAAAGCTATGTGCCTCATCTTTATTGCTTTGCTTTTGCAATCAAGAACGGTTTGATCACCTTTTGAAGCGTATCGGGAAAGGCATTAATCTCTTCTGTTTGTTCCCTTGTCACAAACTTGCGTTGAGTTCTCCCGTTTTCTTAGTCACTGAGCCAACTGGATGATTTATTGAAAAAAATATTTCCCCAAATACCACCATCTGAGTTCACCAGATTTCAGTTTAAATCAGTAATGTATCAAAATGTTTTATGCTGCTGGACTCAAAGTGACCCAGAAGATTCTCAGTTTATTTCCATCCAGGTACAGAGGTGTCTCTGGTAAACACCACCTCCACACCTGGCACGGCCTGGCAT